TCGGCCTGCAATAGAGGACACCCACGTTCCATCCCTGGGTCTGGAAGATCTCCTGGAGGAGGGCATGGCAACCCACTCTAGTATTCTAGTCCAGGAAAAATCCCATGGACAGAGGAGCGTGGTGGGCTACAGTCCATGGGGTTGCAAAGAATCAAACACAACTGAAGCAAGTTAGCATTCGGAGGCTCACTTAAGAACATGGCAGTTTGGGTCTTTACCTCCTTTATAATATAACTGAAGCATAAATAATACACCATAACATTATACCTCAATAAAGAATCATCAACCACCTGTTATTTGGCTAGGAGACTAGATGTGGGGTGATAAAAGGAGGTTAAGAAATGGGCTACATTGCTTGGACTTCCCTGGTGGTCCAGTGGCTAAGACTTGGCGCTTTCACTGCCAAGGACCCAGGTTCCATCCCTGGTCAGGGAACTAAGATCTCATAAGCTTGGTCAGGGAACAAAGATCTCATAGGCCTGGTCGGGGAACTAAGCTTCTCATAAGCCATGCAGCACAGACGATAGGAACAGAATGAAGGAACGAGATAAGTGAATAAATGGTTAATCCCACTAGGGGATTATAGGTAGAAAACTATGGGAAACTGTTGCACATTAATGATTCCTCGAGAAAGCACATTGGCTTAACCACAAAACCAAGCTGGCTTGCTTAGCAACAAAAGCATGCTACAGAAGCGCGGGACACACCCCCAAACTATGAAACAATGGCGGAAGGAGCCCCACATCCTGTCCAGGGAGCTCAGTAGGTTCAGTTCAGTTCAGTTCAGTCGTGTCCGAGTCTTGGCGACCCCATGGACGGCAGCACGCCAGGCCTCCCTGTCCATCACCAACTCAGTAAGTTAACGACTCTCAAAAACAGGCTCTGGTGCACATAAGAAAAAACTGCTTACGGGAAGGTGACTTTTCAAAAGACCCTCATTGTACTCGGACCTAAAAATATGTTTTCTACAGTGCTTTATAACAATCCCAGCCTGACCATGTGGGGACAAATTTCCCTGGCCTACTTGGGGGAGGAACTGATGTTGGAAACAACATATATTCAAGGGAGACAAAGAGCTTCTCCCCTGACCCCTTCCTCTGAGCATCGAACTGCAGCGCAGTGAGTTCTCGGGGAGCCATTTCTCGCCCACCCGCTTGGAAGCCTCAGAAGCATCCTGTTCCATTAAATCATTCTTACCTCCCACTTTGCTCTCGCTGAATTCTCCTCTGCTCTGACATGAAGGATCGGGGTTGCCAGAGCTCCTCGGAGCCCCTTGCAATGACACCAGTTGGTTTTGCAGCCAGGAAAAAAATAATAAAAAAGAACTATATTTGCAAGTAACTCCCAGTTGTGAGTGAGAGGAGATTAAAAATACCGAATATCCATACTGAGGTGATTCGGAAGAAACTGTGTGAAATATACCCCTGTCTCTTCTACAAGTCAGCTTCTAGAAGGACTAATTCCTCGCCTCCTGTTCCTCCTGTGCCGAATGTCCCCCCACGTCCACCCCACTGCCTCTGCTGAGACCTCACCTTGCCCCTTGCCACACGGAGTCACCCCCAGCAGGCAGTTTCTGTGTCCCCCGTGCGTCTGTGTGCTGAGTCGCTCAGTCATGTCCGACTCTTTGCGACCCCAAAGACTGCAGCCCCGCCAGGCTGCTCTGTCCGTGGGACTCTGCAGGCAAGAATGCTGGAGTGGGTTGCCACTCCCTCCTCCAGGGGATCTTCCTAACTCAGGGATCGAACCCACACCTCCTGCGTTGGCACTGAGGCACCAGGGAAGCCCCACTGTCCCCCATAGAGAAGCCCTACAATGAACCGGGTCTCAGCTGTGCCAAGGTGGCTCCTGACGGAGGCGCTGGAGGGGGAAAGGGCAGCCCGCCTCCTCTCCAGCACTTCAACTCAGCCGGGCATTCCCCCTTCCTCCTGTTCACAGAGGCCAGCCTCTAGCAATGCCCTGCTCCAAGATCTCCACCGCAGGAAGGGCAAGCGCCCCTCTGCCTTTGGCTTCCCTTCCTATCAACCTTCTTGCACCGTTTCCCACCGCAGGCCACTTCCAAGGAGGCTCAGGCTCTGCATCCCATTAACAGCTTCCAGTGGTCATGTATGGATGTGAGAGCTGGACCACAAAGAAAGCTGAGCGCTGAAGCATCGATGGTTTTGAACTGTGGTGCTGGAGAAGACTCTTGAGAGTCCACTGGACTGCAAGGAGATCCAACCAGTCCATCCTAAAGGAAATCAGTCCTGAATATTCACTGGAAGGACTGATGCTGAAGCTGAAACTCCAATACTCTGGCCAGCTGATGAGAAGAGCTGACTCAATTGAAAAGACCCTGATGCTGGGAGGGATTGAAGGCAGGTGGAGAAGGGGACAACAGAGGATGAGATGGTTGGATGGCATCACCGACTCACTGGACATAAGTTTGAGTAAACTCTGGGAGTTGGCGATAGACAGGGAGGCCTGGTGTGCTGCAGTCCACGGGGTCGCAAAGAGTCAGACACGACTGAGCAAGTGAACAAGAACAACAAATGTGTAAACAGAGCTAGCAGGTGACAGCAGAGACTAACACAACATTATAAAGCAGTTATTGCTGTTGAGCCGCTCAGTCGTGTCCCACTCTCTGCAGCCCCATGGACTGCAGCACACCAGGCCTCCCTGTCCGTCACCAACTCCCAGAGCTTACTCAGACTCACGCCCATCGAGCCCGTGATGCCATCCAACCGTCTCATCCTCTGTCGTCCCCTTCTCCTCCTGCCCTCAGTCTTTCCCAGCATCAGGGTCTCTTCCAGTGAGTCAGCTCTTTGCATCAGGTGGCCAAAGGATTGGAGCTTCAGCATCAGTCCTTCCAATTACACGCCAACCTGAAACAAAATGAGCTAGGGGCTTCTCCGCTGGCTCCTGCCAAAGCAGGTAGACGTGGGTCCGATTCCTGGTCCGGGGAAGATCCCACCTGCCACAAAGCAACTAAGTCTGCATGCCCCAACTTGGGAGCCTGTCTCTGGAGCCTGGCAACTACCGAAGCCCAGGAGTCCTACAGCCCATGCTCCACAACCAGAGAAGCCCCCGCGATGAGAAGCCTGCCCACGCGACTAGAAACGAGCCACCGCTTGCCACAACCAGAGTCAAGCCTCAGCAGTGATGCAGACGCAGCACGGCCATCAATAAAGAAATAAAACCATAGAAAACAATGCAATAACATGTTCTGAAACAAACAAAAATAAATAAAAATACAATAAACAGCCGTTTCCTTTCTTGCCTCCTGTGCCTGCCTGAAGTTTTTACGATAGCGAGAATCTTCACTGAAATCACAGGATCTGCAAACTAGCCTTAAAAAGGAGGGCCAAATCCAGGCCAGGCTCTGCTTTTTTTTTTTTTTTATGGCCCAAGAGGTAAAGAATTTTTTTTTAATCTTTTTTTTTTTAATCGTTGAAGAAAATCAACAGCAGACTTAGTGACACATGCAAATTATGTACATTGAAATTTCAGTCCTCAACAACCTTTTAACAAGCACACGGACACCCCTCATGGGTTCAGCACTGTTGGTGGAAGCTTTTGCACCACAATGCTGAGGTGAGTTGTTGCAAAGACTAAATTAAGTATTTACTGCCTGACACATAATAGGAAAAGCCTGCATATCCCGGCCTCAAAGGTAACCCTCTACTCTAAGCTGTGACTTAAGTAAGACTTGATGGGCTGGTCGCCCAGCTTTCCTTTTGATATGCGAAGCTGGGCGCAAATACCCTTTCTGCCCAAGAAAGCCTGCTTTTCGGGATCACCAGCTTCACCGCAGGCTCTCAAAAAGACAGTGGGCTTTGGGAGTGGAGGTGAACAAAATCCCCTTTCTCCCCGAGAAAGCCCGCCTTGCAGGATCACCAGCTTCACCTCACGCTCTCAAAAAGACAGTGGGCTTTGGGGGCGAATGTGAACGATGACCTCATTATTTCTTCTTTCCACTCCTGCTTTAGAAATCCTTATCGGGCATTTTAGATAATGGATGACTCCGGCTCCCTGGAGGCGGTGGGGGCGGGGGGAGGCTGAGCCCAAGGACAGGCAAGAGTAACAGAGCTACTTTTCATCAACTATCACCTTCAGAGCAAACACAAAATAAACTATCACCTTCGGTGCAAACACAAATGATACCGTGGACGGCGGAGAGGAACATAACACAGTCAACAGAGCAGGGGGCCGTGGGGCTTAAGGAGACGGGAATAACTGAGGGGCTGAAGGGGACCCCTCAGCAGGGCTGAGGAGGATGGCGGGGAGGGGAGACAGGAGGGAAGGGCGTAGCGTCCCCCTCCCCCCCCAGCAAACAAAATAATGGAAGCAAAAGTCTCAGAACCGAGAGGCGGGGTTGAGGAGTGAAGCTCATGTTGTTCCCCCAGGAGCCGGACGCTGTCTGCAGACTAGGAGATCCTGCAAAGGGCGGAAACACAGCGACCCCTTAAAAGGCAAGCGGTGGAAAAAAAAAAAAAATCATTGCAAATTCACAGAATTTAGGTGAACTCTTTAGTGGTAAAGGTTGATAGCAACTACTGTCCTTCCCAGCTGTTACAGTTTATGGCCAGTGTAAAATTTTTGCACCTGTTTTAAAATTTTTTTTAAAGACAAGTGGTTACTCTTCCCCCACGTTCTGAAGCAGATGAACCAATGCTGCAATCACTCCAGATACATTCTGTCCCAGTGCTAGAGGGGATGTGATACAGGTGTTGCAACCAAGGTGCTCAGATTTCACTGCCTGCAGGCGGCATGTGAGAGAAACCCAGGAAACATATGCAACTGAATCACATCCTATACACCGTAATGACAGCCTGTCTCATGAAGACAAGGGAAAACACAAATGAGAAGGACCACCAGGAAGACAGAGCTCAAGGAAGGGGCAACCCGAGCATCGGGGCAGCCTCGTCCTGTCTCGTCTTCCCCACAAGCTTCACACTCTGCTCTTTGCGAGCTAGATGCTCTGTGAAGCCTTGTGTCTTTAACAGTTCTGTTTTTTGAGGGTTTTATTTTTTTTTTTGGCAGCCCCCTCTAATTCCCACCAAGGGTAGCTCAGCTGGTAAAGAATCCGCCTGCACTGCAGGAGACCCGTGGTTTGATTCCTGCGTTGGGAAGATCCCCTGGAGAAGGGACAGGCTACCCACTCCAGTATTCCTGGTCTTCCCTGGTGGGTCAGCTGGTAAAGAATCTACCTGCAATGCAGGAGACCTGGGCTGGATCCCTGGGGTCGGAAAGATCCCCTGGAGGAAGCGCATGGCAGCCCCTTCCAGAATTCCTGCCTGGGAAATCCCATTGGCAGAGAGGCCTGGTGAGCAACAGTCCATGGGGTCTCAGAGAGTCGGACACGACTGAAGCAGCTGAGCACGCACGTACACTTTTGATAAACAGCACTGCAATGAACACTCCCAGATATGCAATTCCCAGGGACTTCCCTGGTGGTTCAGTGGTTAAGAAATCTGCCTGCCAATGCTAGGACACAGGTTCAATCCCTGGCCTGGGAAGATACCACATGCCTCGGAGCAACTAAGCCCCACATACCACAACTACCCAGCCCGTGCTCAGAAGCCACAAGAGATGCCCCTGCAGTGAGAAGCCCAGGGACACTGCGTAAAAAGCTGCGCAATTCCCAATAAGGAATCTCAAAGGAATGAAAATGAGCCCATAAGCGGTCCTGATTGTGACCAAATAAACAGGAAATCAAGGGGAGTCTAGTTTATCTTAATTTATAGAGCAGATGCTGGTGTGGGAGAAGACTCTTGAGAGTCCCTTGGACTGCAGGGAGATCTAACCAGTCCATCCTAAAGGAGATCAGTTCTGGGTGTTCATTGGAAGGACTGATGCTGAAGATGAAGCTCCAATCCTTTGGCCACGTGATGTGAAGAGCTGACTCTTTTGAAAAGACCCTGATGCTGGGAAAGGTTGAAGGCGGGAGGAGAAGGGGACGACAGAGGGTGAGGTGGTTGGATGGCATCACCGACTCGATGCACATGGGTTTGAGCAAGCTCTGGGAGTGGGTGGTGGACAGACAGGCCTGGCGTGCTGCATTCCTTGGGAAGAAGATCCCCCGGAGAAGGACGTGGCAACAACCCACTCCAGCTTCCTTGCTGGGAAAATCCCTTGGACAGAGGAGCCTGGCGGGCTACAGTCCATGGGCTCGAAAAGAGTCGGACACGACTGAGTGACTGACCGCACAACAGTTCACAACAGAGCCGGGGGCGAAGCGGGTCACATGTTGGTAGGAATCCCATGAAAAGGTTAGATGTGAAAAACGTTTGGCTTCTATTTCTTCAACCAGGCTCCCAAACTACTCTCCCAGTTTCTATTAAATGGAGAACTGTATCTTAGGCACACCTTAAAGTCTCCTGCACAGGCTTCAGGTCTGACAGGGTGACGTCTCTACTTTATTCTGCCTTTAAGCTTCCTGCTTGCAGACACCAGGTCTGCTCATGGGCTTGCGGTTCCCCCGGCAACCTAGAGTGTTACACTGAATGGGGTGGATTCTCTCTGCATGTGGATCATTAATTAACCAAGGTTCAGGTTAGGCTTCCCTGGTGTCTCGGCAAGCAAAGAAAAACTGCCTGCCAATGCAGGAGTCACGGGAGATGCAGGTTCGATCCCTGGGTCGGGAAGATCCCCTGGAGGAGGGCCTGGCAACCCACTGCAGTATATTCTTGCCTGGAGAACCCCATGGACAGAGGAGGCCTGGTGGGCTACAGTCCACGAGGTCACACTGAGTCAGACACGGCTGAAGGGACTCAGCATGCACACAAACTATCCTCAAGGAATAAAGACTGCTTGCGTGTATGATTATTATTATTTTTTTGATGTGGACTATTTTTAAAGCCTTTATTGAATTTGTTACAATACTGCTTCTGTTATATGTTTTGGTTTCCTGGCCACGAGGCATCTGGGATCTTAACACCCTGACCAGGGATTGAACCCAAACCCCCTGCGTTGGAAGGCAAAGTCTCAACTTTACCTAGCTTCTCCAGCAAGTTCCACTGTATTCTCAATCTGAGCTCCATCAAAACTCCAGTTGTATTACACTTTCTAGACACTGTGCACTCTAGAGACACATTCATTGGTACTTACCTTGCGTGTCCTTCTGAAACAGAATCCTTCCCTGAGTATCACTTCGTGGGTTTCAAAAGAGGAGGCAAATATTCAATGATTCTTTAGGAAACAGCTCAGCAAATTGGGATTTAAAAAAAAAAAATTCAACTGAATACTAATCTGACTGCACTGCCTTTTTATTATTCAAGGACAAACGTAATCATTTTTTAAAAGAGTTCTAATCTCCGTCATCTATAAAACCCACGAAAGCCTCACACATTATTGTCTTGCCATCAAATGGGATACACGGGGAAAGAAACTACACTCAGTTTTACTACTCAAGGAATGAGAATTACTACTGGAGTCACAGCATCGCTATTACTATTCATATTAATGCCTCGTGAATAAAGTTCTAAAAGAGAAATGTGTATGTGTTGCGACTTAAAGCAAGGGCTATATACTTTTATGACACCTCTAAATTCACATGGACCTCTGTAGCTGGCTATGTTCTTACACACACACACACACACACACACACATACACACCAGCTCTCTGTGAGGGGCCCCAATAACGCCATGGAAGCGTCATTTTTCCCGCTACCTCTTCACGGATGGTTTGGCTGAAAGTCACGTGTCACAGTGAACTTGCTGAGGATCCAGAAAGGATCCAGTTCAAAGGTCAACCTAGCACCCACACTCAAGACATCCATTTCCAAGTCACATGCCCTTTTACACTGTTATTTTTTTTTTTTAACTTAATTTGTAAAGAATTTCTCTTGTGCAAGATACACGTGGAGCCAAACCACCTCTGTCGTTCAAAGCACCGAAGTGTAACTTTCGGGCTGGTAAGAAGTCCACTTGAAAAAAGCTATTCATTTATGTCATTTATTTTTGGCTGTGCTGGGTCTTCTTCGCTGGGTGGGTTTTTCTCTAGTTGGGGAGAGCCAGGGGCTACTCATCATCACGGTGCGTGGGCTTTTCTTTGCGGTGGCCTCTCCTGTCGAGGAGCACAGGTTCAACAGGTGTGGCACACGGGCTTAGATGCCCCATGGCAGGCGGGATCTTCCTGGGTCAGGGATCGCACCCACGTCACCTGCAGTAGCGGACGGATCCTTTACCACTGAACCACCAGGGGAGCCCATAAAAAGTCTATTTGAAGTATTAAAAATGACGGCTACTTCACTTACACTGCGTGAAAAGTTCAGAGATTGAACGTAATGATTCTGCACTTGATTTTACTTCCAATCTGCTTTGTAACCGATTACCAGTTTCTCTGGGCTTGCCTGGTGGCTCAGATGGTAAACAACCTCCCTGCCATGTAGGAGACCCTTGTTTGATCCCTGGGGCGGGAAGATTCCCCCGGAGAAGGGCATGGCAACCCGCTCCAGTGTTCTTGCCTGGAGAAGCCCATGGCAAGAGCTGGACATGACTGAGTGACCGACACTTTCACTTTTCTTTCACCGATTTCTCCATGCTTGCTATGTTGCTGTTCAGTCGCCAGGTCGTGTCCAACTCTTTGTGAGTCCCCAGACCGTAGCACGCTAGGCTTCCCTGTCCTTCACTGGCTAGTAGACTCTGCTCACGCTCATGTCCATTGAGTCGTTGATGCCATCCAACCATCTCATCCTCTATTGCCCTCTTCTCCTTCTGCCTTCAATCTTTCCCAGCATCAGGGTCTTTTCAAATGAATCAACTCTTTGCATAACGTGGCCAAAGTATCAGAGCTTCAGCTTTAGCATCAGTTCCTTCCAATGAATATTCAGGGTTGATCTCCTTTAGGATTGACCAGGCTGTCCAAGGGACTCTCAAGAGTCTTCTCCAGTGCCACGGTTTGAGTCTTCGAAGTTCTGCATCGATTCTTTGGCGCCCTGCCTTCTTTATGGTCCAGCTCTCAGATCCATACATGCCTACTGGAAAGGCCACAGCCATGGCTATACAGACACCTTTGCTAAGTGGGTCTTTAAAATCTAGGCTGATATCACCATGCCTGAGTAACTAAAGATTCACACGTGAGGTAAGAGAGAAAGTTGAGGTGGGGTTGGTTATCAGGATCCCAGCGTGTGTCGTCTGAGCATCAAACACCCGGCTGACGGCGCCTGCCTTTTTCTTCTCTCAGGATCCACTGCGTGTTGTACCTTCTCCCAGCAGGATGGGTGGACAGACCACAGCATGAGTGACAAAGAAGACTGGGGGTCCTTCTTTGAAAGTGCTGTCTGAACGGAAGCGCCGGGGCCTGAAGGCAAAGGAACGGAACAGAGGAGCTTGGTTCAAACTCCATTCTAGCATCGGGCTTGCCGACAGAGACGATGACTTGGGTCATCATGTCGTGGAGTCTATACCCAGCGCCGGAAGTGACCGCAGCCCAGTTCCGTCAGCCTGCACCTTATTCCCGCCGTCTGTCTGGAGCACCTCACGCGGTGAAGCCTCATGCTGCATTTAAGCAACCGATCTCGGCCTCGCGACATCTCCTGGCCGGCTCTTGTGACAGCCTGCGGCCAGCCCGTCTCTCTTGGACTGGACTGTATTTGCAACGCCAGCTTCCATGGGTGAGCTGGGATAACCCACCTCGGACTTTTGGACACAACACTAAAACTTTTTTTTTTTTTAAATACAATGATGCATGACTTTATTCACTTCTATTTTTGACTGCACTGGGTCTTTCTGGCTGTGCATGGCCTTTCTCGAGTTGAAGAGAGCTACTAGAGGGGGCTACTCTCTGGTTCCGGGACACAGGCTTCTGACGGCAGAGGCTGCTCTTGTGGCTGAGCGTGGATTCTCAGCAAACGGGCCTCACCAGTGGTGGTGCACGGGCTTTTTTTTGCTCCACAGCCTGTGAGCTCTTCCCAGAGTGGGGATCAAATCTGTGTCCCCTGCACCAGCAGGCAGATGCTGAACCACTGGACTGCCAGGGAAGGCCTGCACTGAGAATCTTGAACCCCAAAAAAGATGGCAAAGAATCCACAAACGAGTCATGAAAATACATCAGAGCATTCCTTTGACACGGGCCCTGATCTCCTCCGGACATAAAGATGATGAAGAACTGAAGCCGTGGTACCTGCATGGACAACAGGAATTCAGGCTCTGGGTGACCCTCCATGGGGCCGTTTTGAAAATGAAGCTAGATCCTCAGCCCAGCCCAGTCTGTCCCCAGCTCTCTGCCTTGCAGCTGAAGGCGAGACACCGATATCCATGCCGGCCCCGCAGCTAAACCGGCATGCACGGAGTCTGAACGGGGTCCCTCAGGGCGGCAACAGGGACACGGAAGCCCACTTCTCTCCCTGTGTGTCCCTCCTCGGCCGCCAGCCCTCATCGAACGCCAGGGGATGTCCCTTCCCTACCGAGAGCACGCCCGTCTTTCCTTTCTCTTTGCTTCCATCCGGATCATCCCATCCGCATTTTGAAAAGCGTTCTCTTTAAAGAAGACAAACATTCTTTTTTGTTTGTTTTTTTCAATAACAAAGAAGTTTCAGAAACTGCTGAGCCACGGGCCCACTTAGAGCTAAGCCTCCCGGTTGACCTGACCTTTCTCTTCCGCTTTCCAATTTAGCTCCCTACGGGGAAAAGGCCACGCGCCCAAATCCCAGGGTGGCTGGTTTGGACAATGACCTGCGGGGATTTCCGGCCACGTTTCTCCCCGTCTCCCAGACGGACTCAATTTCTGCTTTCTCTTGCCTGAACCTTATGGGTTTCCTGAATCTTCGACGGCAACTTCTACCCCTGAAGCTACCGAAAAGTCCTCGTCCTGGGTTTACACTCTGTCCTGTCCTAGAATTAACTAGAAATGGGTGTGATGACGGGCACGCCTCTGACCACTGCCCTTCAGTTCTTCCTCACCTGCACACGGACCCCACGGTCAGCCAGCTTGGTGACACCGCAGCCTAACTAGGCGTTACTATTACACACGCGTGTATCTTTGCACACATGTAGGTATGACGGATGTGTATGCATGTGTGTGCGTATATGTGCACACAAAGGTAGCTGTGTATATATTTGTGTGTGTGTGTGTGTGTGTATACTTCCCACCTCCTCGCTGGGAAGCAAATAATATGCTTACATTGTCTACAGGTGGACTTCTCAGTGGCGCTAGTGGGAAAGAACCCGCCTGCCAATGCAGGAGACGTAAGAGACACGGGTTTGATCCCTGGGGCTGGAAGATCCCCTGGAGGAGGGCGTGGCAACCCACTCCAGCGTGCTTGCCTGAAGAGTCCCCAAGGACAGAGGAGCCTGGTGGGCTGCAGTCCGTGGGGTCACACAGAGTGGGACACCGCTGAAGCGACTTAGCACGCACGCACACATGGACCCAAGGAGGGAAGCGGAGGATGGGAAGAACTGGGAGACTAGGATGAACACATATACACTGCCATGCGTAAAATGGATGAGAGGGTTGGATGGCTTCACCGACTCAAAGGACATGAGTTTGCACACACTCCGGGAGATGGTGAAGGACAGGGAAGCCCGGTGTGCTGCAGTCCATGGGGTCGCGGTCGGACACGACTAAGTGAATGAAAAACAAGGAATGCGTAAAAGAGCCAGCTAGCGGGAACCTACTCTAATAAAATACAGGGGGCCCAGCGCGGTGCCCTGTGACGACCTCGAGGGTAGGACGGAAGGGTGGGTGGGAGGCTCAACAGGGAGGGGGTGTTGTATACAGACAGCTGATTCAGGGTATTGTACAGTGGGAAGGAACACAACTCGGTAGAGCAATTATACTCCAATAAATAAATAATAAACAATGCCCCTGGCACCCACTAAAAAAAGAAGGTGTCTACACTATTCAGTGTCCTTAGAAAAGGATTCGATTAGCAGGTATGGTTTCAAATCACACACAAAAAAATGTCATCGGTGAACTGGTGA